ACTTAATTTTTCTTTTTTTGTGAGGTCTTGCCAGATTCCAGCGTAGAGATCCTGCTGGCTTTATAAATAGTTGAAGGCATCCTCTCCTGTTATATTTTCTAAAAGAAGTTGCATAACATTTGGGTTGTTTATACCTTAAGTGTTTGGAAGAATTGCTTGGTAAAGTCATCTGGGCTTGGGGTTTTCTTCCTGGGGAGGTTTTCATATGTGGTTTTAATTTCTGTGATGGAAATAGGAATCTTATATTTTTCTGTTTTCTCTTGTGCCATTTTTGGTTAAGTTGTATTTTTTTTCAAAGAATTTTTCCATTTCATTCAAGCTGCTTAGTTTATTGGCATAAAATTGTTTATAGTATCCTCTTTCTCATTCTTTGTATTTTTTTTTTTAAGTGGAGGTACTTGGGGGCTGAACCCAGGACCTCGTGCATGCTTAGCACACTGAGCTATTACCCTCCCTCTATACTATCCTCTTATATTCTTATCTTTGGCTTAGGAACTTATAGTGATGCCCCTGATAGTAATTTTATTCCTCTTGATAGTAATTTAGATTCTCTTATTTTTTTCTTGATTGATCTTGCTGTAGGAGTTTATCAATTTTATTATTCTTTACAGAGAAACAAGTTTTGGCTTTGTTGATTTTTCTGTATTGTACGAATACGTTCTATTTCATTGACTTCTCTCTGTTTTTTGTTTTTCTCCTAGTTTCTTGAGAAGACATCTTACATCACTGATCTCCCAGCCTTTCTACTCTTGTAATGTAGTTGGCCTTTAAACAACATGAGGGTTAATCCATGTATAACTTGTAGTCGGTCCCCCATATTCCTCTGCATCCACAGACTCAACCAACCACTGGCTATGCAGTACTGTGTTGTTTACTACTGAAAAAATCTGCATAGAAGTGGACCCCTACAGTTCAAACCTGCACTGTTCAAGGGTTAACTGTATGAATTGAAGGCTGTACATTGTGTGCCCATCAACACAGATTTATAGTTTTTTTGCTTTATGCAGTTATTTTTAATTCACATAGGAGAAAAAAGTTACAACCAAATAATACACTTACATTGTTTTTATATTTAGCTACATATTACCTTTCCCAATGCTCTTTATTTATTCATGTGGATCTGAGTTATTGTCTAGTGTCCTTTCATTTCACTCTGAAGGACTTTATTATGTATTATAGGGCAGGTTTGATAACAACAAAATCTCTTAGTTTTTATGCACCTAAGAATGTCAGTTTCTCCTCTGATTTTTGAAGGACCTGGATACAGAATTCTCAGTTGAAAGTCTATTTTTTAGCTACTTTAAACATATCATACCACTGTTTTCTAGTCTTCATGGTCTCTTATGAGAAATCAGCTGTTAATCCTATTGGGGATTCACTCAAATGTGATTTTATTTCCCCTAGTTTCTTGAGATAAGAACTTAGATAACTGATTTGAAATCTTTACTTTTTCCTAAGGTAAGCATTTAGTACTTTCCTTTCAGCCTTGCTTTCATTGCATCCCACATGTTTTAATATGTATTTTAATTTATAACCAGCTCTCTGTATGTATTTTACATTTTCAGTTCTATGTATGTATTTGAAATTTTCTTTGCGATTTCTTCTTTGACCTATAAATCATTTAGAATTGTATTGTTTGGTTTCCACATGTTTAGGAATTTGGGGATTGTCTTTCTGTTACTGATTTGTGGTTGATTCCATTATGATCAGAGAACACACTCTGTATGATTGCATTTATTTTAAATTTGTCAAAGTGTTTTTTATTATTCAGGTTATGGTCTATTTTATGAATATTCATGGTTGTTTAAAAAAAGTGCATTCTGCTATTGCTGGGTGGAGTGTTCTATATATGTGTGTGTGTGTGTGTGTGTATACATACATCAATTATACTTGTTCAATATTTGTATTTGATATGGTTGAGTTTAAATCTGCCACCTAACTATTTGTTTTCTATTTGTTTCATCTGTTTTTTGTTACCCTTCTCTTTTCTTCATTCTTTTGGATTAATAGACTTTATTTTTGTAAAATAATTTCATTTATCTCCTTTGTTGGGTTTTTAGCTATGAATATTTGTGTTATCCAGATGGTTGCTTTAGGGTTTGAAGTTTATATCTTTAGCTTGTTAGAATATTCCTTCAAGTGATTACACCATTCACATGTGGTGTTAGATCCTTAGGTAGTGACCTTCCTGTTTCTCCTCTGCTGGACTTTGTGCTATTTTGGTCACACATTTTGTTTCCCCAGGTTATAAACCTCGTAATACACTGATAATTTTGCTTTAAACAATTCTTGCTCTCAGCAGGCATAGCTCAGACAAGCTTCTCCTTTCTGTTCTCTTGCTAGAAATTTGTCTAAAATAGGAACAAATAGGATCTGAGATCATAAGTTTTCATAATCTTTAGTGTTGTCTGTTGCAGCAGTTTCAACTACTCAGAAGCTCCCCCTACCCCAACTCAGCTTCCTGGCTGTTGGATATTTGTTAGATAAGCCTCTTTCAAATACAAACAAATTGTTACTATGTAAGAGAGGAGGTGAAAACAGAGTGATTAAAAAGAAAGTTTCAAACCATTCAGTAAGGAAGAACAGATCAAAACCCAGTTTTACAACTGTTGTCAGTCAAAATAGAAAGCTAAGGAGGAAAACCATTCATGGAAAGGGTGGGTGGTGGTAGGTGGAGGTGGCAGGTGGAGGGGGTCGTAAGGGATTTGCTCTGCATTTTTCTTTACTGTGGGACTTTTGTCTCCTTTTCCCTTTTACAAACTCATCTAAAATTTTCTCACCTCACTTAATGAGGCATTTCCCTCTTTTCAAAGCCAGATTTGATGTTATGTATTTTATATTTTCTTTAGCCAGTTTTAAATGTATAAAAACTTCACAAATTTAGAATAAAGACGTTTCAACTTGAAATAATAAACAGTACGGGTCTGGAATACTGTAATGCATTTTATTACTTTCAGATACATAGAATAAAACAGATGATTGAACACTAGGGCAAGAAGTGCAGGCTCTGAATAATGAGGAATTCTAAATACCGGTTAATGAGCGCAGAAGGAACACTGAGTCCCTCCTTATACAACAATGTAGCTTTTAACTCCCTCCTTCCAGCAACTTCTCTCTGTAGCACTGCCAGTTTCAGAAATTCTATTTCTGCTTCCCAATGGAGGACACATTAGGACTACCCATTTCTCAAACCTCTTTTCCTTCCCAGTACCTGGTTTGGTATTTCCGCACATTCTCTGTTAAAATTAGAGCTCTGTCTAAATTAGAGCCCCCCAAAGAACTCCAAAATTTAGAGTTCTGTTAAGAGAAGCTTGCTGACGATGAGGTCTGAAGAGCTTCCTGGTCATTTAAGACAATAACCTAAATCAAAGCTAGGGATACAGTGATGTGCTGGGTAACAAACTTTCCGTCAGTGGGCCCCCGCACCTTCAATTAAAAAATACTTGAGACACATCACTCTGTAGGTTTAAGGCGTACAGCATGATGGTTTGATTTACATTAATTGTGAAATGCCTACAGTAGGTTCAGCTAACATCCATCTTTTCATCTAGATACAATAAAAAGGAAGGAAAGAAGAAAGGAAAAGCCAATTTTCTGTTTGAGATGAGAACGCGCAGGATTTGCTCTCTGAACACCTTCCTCGTGGGTGATACAGCGGTGTGACCAGAGGCACCACGTTGCATATTACACCCTCGGTACTTATTTATCGGTTCTCTTTTTAACCACAGCCACAAGTGGTCTCGG